TTCGTATGAAAGGAAAATTAACGTTGGTTATGGAAAAAATAAGGTATTATAAAAAGAGAGAGAAAATAATATATTTACCAAAGTAAGAAAGAGAGAGAGAGAGAGAGAGAGAGAGAGAGAGAGAGGAAAACGTCGAGACTTCGATTGAGAATAAGAAAAAAGAAGAAGAAAAAAGAAGAAAAAAAAAAGAATTATGAAAAGAAACTTTAAATCGACCAATCGTATGCATAACGTTCGACCAGATTAAATGCATGCATGCACAGGTACACACACAAATAATACGCGAAAAAAAAAAAAAAAAAAAAAAAAAAAAAGAACATTGAAATGATTTTAAAGAACGATTATTATTTATGCAAACATGCAACACACATTTTTCTTCCCTTTCTCTGACTCTCGTTATCTTTTTCCTTTTTTTTTTTCTTCTTAACNAAGAAAAAAAAAAGAATTATGAAAAGAAACTTTAAATCGACCAATCGTATGCATAACGTTCGACCAGATTAAATGCATGCATGCACAGGTACACAAAAAAATAAAAAAAAAAAAAAAAAAAAAAGAAAGAAAAAAAAACACATAGAGAACATTGAAAAGCGGATCAAGAACGATTATTATTTATGCAAACATGCAACACACATTTTTCTTCCCTTTCTCTGACTCTCGTTATCTTTTTCCTTTTTTTTTTTCTTCTTAACATTTAGGTAAGAATTAAAACGAGAGGAGAATAATTCAAGGCATAGTTAGTTTGATCGCGTGTCGTCGTTTCGAACGATTTTCTGGGACTAACTAACTCCCGCTACCGAAGAATTTCGTTCCTCCTACGTTCCTCCACCCCCCTCCCCTCCACCCTCCCCCACCGCCACCTCCTTCTGTTTTTTCTCTTTCTCCCTTTGTTTTTCTCGCGGTAGCCGAAGAAGGACACGCTCGAAATAGGCAAACCTTATCGTTGACGATCCATCCTAAGAGAAAAAAAACGATTATGCGAATTGGTCGAAACTGACCCGGTTATTTTCGATGATCGTTGTTGTTACCTAAGACAATTTCTTCTACGAGAGAAGAATTTTTCCTTTTTTTTTTTTCTTCTTCTTCTAACCCCCTCCACTCGCCCCCCACCACACCATCATCCGAATTATTCCGGAATGTGTGGTGTTTCTCGAGAAAATTACGAACGTTTGAAAAAAAATCTAAAACAATCAAAAAAATATATTTCAACGAGATATTATTCGCGATGTTTTGTCATACTTAACCAGTTAACTGTGTCGATGATTTTGCAAAGTACGCCCTAGTGTGTGTCGCGATAATCAAGCGATGACGGATATAGTTGTCGAACACAGAGTAAATGGCGTTGTTGAAATATTCGGTCAAAAAGACGACTTTATTTTAGAAAATGAATGAATTTATGAGTAATATTTAAACAATGGATCAACGTAAAGCTATATTTACACATAATTAACGAAAAATTTACACAAAAAAAATCAAATATTTAACAAACAGACAAAAAAAAAATTTCTTTTTTTTTTTTTGTCCTTGGTTAGACATCCAGGACATCATCGCAAATGGAAAATCTAATATACTTTGTTTTTTTGGTTATGACACGTCAAGATGAAAATCAGGATAATCAAAGATCTAGTGTCCAACTTAAATTATCTATAATTTTTATTTGTTTATTTCATTTCGTCCTGACCCCTAAACATTCTAAACATATTATTATTTACGAATTTAATTTAATTTTCGCCAGAATTACAATTTAAATATTAAATTGTATAAAAAATTTTACGCATGACGGATATAGCCGTCAAAACACCAAATTCTGCCATTCTTCCATGACGGATATAGTCGTCAAACACACTTAACTGATTAAAAAACGTGATATAACCAAAAAAAAAGAAGAAGAAAATGATAAAAACAATATAATATTAATGATACGAAAGTTTCGTCGTCGTCTTTGTCGTAGAAAGAAAAATCTTTGTTATTTGTTTTCTATATTATAACGTCACCCAATTATAATTCACGACGAATACCCCATAAATACGAGTTCCGAATAAAAAGAAGAACGAAAATCCGGGGTCGCTAACTAAACTACGAATTTTTGAATACTAAAAAAAGAGAAGGAAAGAAAAAAAAAGAAAAAAAGAAAAAAATAAGATTCCTAATCCTTGTTTGTGGAACAACAACGAAAATTAATATGATGCATAAATCTGAACAACATTAATTATCCTCTCCCCTTCCTCCCACAAAAGAAACATAAAACAAACGAAACTGATCCCTTTTTCTAAACCCGATCATCGAGTTCTGACAATCTTCTACTAATCGATAAAATTACCAAAATCCGAGTAAAAAAAATAAATGGGAAAAAGGGGGAAAAGAAGAAAATTATCAAACGTTACCATCACAACCACTTACGTTCGGGTCGAATCCAAACGAATGAAACGAGTTTCGTGAAAATAATCGCGATTCCAGATCCGAATTTCAAAACTGTTGGGAGAGAGTGGGTGGAAGGGGGAACAGAGGGGGACTTTTTGTTTTTTTTTTAAAGTATAAGATAAAGAAGAAAATATAAATATATATATATATATATATATCCTTTTTAAAATACTGTAAAAAAAAGTTGAGCAACCAACCGGCAAAAGACTGGTGGATCCAAACGGGATTAATTGTTCACCTCTGTTAAGTAATTGGTTGCTCGATTATGGTACATTATATTCACCTCGAGACGCCTAAGGAGTCTGTATCCATTCGAGATGAAGACATTACCGACGAGTTGAGAGAACCAGCCGAACGGTATTTTTACGAGCGGCTCGTAAACTTAACGAGGAACGAGAAGCTCGAGAAGAAGCCCAAGACGAGAAACAGAAACCCACCACCATCACCCGCCTCCCCC